CTGATAAAAAAAGATTTTCCTTGCTAATTACAGTGTGCTACAGATAGGTTCAAGCAGAGGAAGACACTTCATTATTATAATGGCATTTCCAAACAGAAAACCAAAACATTTATCTATTAGATCAGAGCTTATTTAAGTCTCATTTTGTTTTTAAGAAGACAATTGCATGTATCAGCTATTGCTTCATTCACTGAAACAACCTCCAGGCCTATATCAGAGGATGTCAGCTTTTGTTGCTTCTTTGAATTCTGAGAAGTATGCGTTTAGTTATCTTACACTGCTCTGGATCTCCCATGAGAAGAGCATGAGACCAATACTGCACCACTCTCCTCCTTTCTGGAGTTACTTTAACTAATGAACTTGTGGTTCTAATTATTTTGCTGAATTTATTTTACTTTAATATATCTCCTTAGTCTTCACCTAATTTACCCTTTATTTACAGCATTTAACCAAGAGTTTAAGGCCTCATAAACAAATGGAAATTTGTTTATGTAAGCATTAAGTAAACCTCAACAGCCTGTTTTTATTGCAATTTATTCCACTATGAAGTATGAGTAACTCCACTGAGTTGACACAGTTACACTTTTATAAAATGAGAAGACATGAGAAGAATCAGTAGAGACGATCTGCCAGTGGACTTTGAATTCCCCGTTTGTGACATCCTTCAGTCACAAGAGCAAAACAGACACTGAAGTCCTAAGGTCTCATGATAGAATTCGTGCTGGATACGTGTTTTGCCTCTGTCCTCTCATTATTTGCACATGTTGCAAATCACTACAGCAGACTTTACCAGAATATAATTATATTTACCAGAAAAAAATAAATGTGGCAGCCTCATAATTCCATGTCCATTTGAGTTTTTTTTAAGAAATGTATATGTTACCAATCTGGATAAGAAATAACAAACATCAGTTAATTTCCAAAGACACTGGTATTTCTGTGCTGTGATGCTTTGAAAAGTTTGAGACATCAAAAAAGGGGATAGTTTATGTTCAATAAGAAGGAAAGGGGGCTGTTATTTCCACCAGGACCATTACTCCTCCCAAATAAGGAAGAAAGTGGGTAGAAACAGGATGATAATTATAAACTTTATTTTTTAAAACTGAAGACTTGTCCAAATTAGAGTTCATAACTGCCTCCTGCAGTGAGATTGGAACATACTGAACAACTAAGAAAATACTTGCAGTAGAAAGCAAAATTAGGATTTAAGACAATTATTTCTTTAGAAGCTACGGACAAAGGAACCTACGAATGCAAGGGGGATTAATATAAGAAATGGAATGGTCAGACTCTTAGACTGTAAATTTAACAATTATTAAGATCTTTATTCTACTGTTTGTAAAAAAAAATGTGATTTTTTTTGCACTCGAAGGGTAATGCTTCAGACTGAAGTTTAAACATATTTAGGGTTTATACATTTCTAAAACAATGGAATTAGATCTATCTAAACCCACAGCCAACATTACAATATTCCCTACCACTTGCTTTAAGACAGAGGAACTTTTTCTTCAGTAGATCCTGAGGCAGAACAATGATCTCAGGTAAAGGGAATGTTATAAAGCAAGATGCTTATCGCTTATCACTATGAATGTAGTTAAGCTCTCCTTAATATTATAAAGGTTATAATAAATATAACGTAATAGAATAATAAATAATATAACAAATAGTATTTATTGGCACAGTGATAATTGTTAACAACAGCTGCTTCTCATCTCTCTGTAAGGGAATTGAAGGTCTGCAGATGTCTCTGCGTATTATATAGGAGGAAATACTAATGCTTCAGTAGTGACTGCTGTACATTTCAATCCCCAATGTGCTTTCCATAGCAAGGTAGCTGTTTTATAAGTTAGCTGCTCCAGCTCAGTTTACTCTGTCTGGACCCTTTATTCTTCAGTACTTGTGAGCTGCTAGTCTCAGCAGCACTCAGTGGCATTATATACAGCTTATAGGCTCAGCACTTGTTAATCAAGCCTTGTGCACATCCCTCTCTACAAAGCTGAAAAAGAAGTGGGAATGGAATATTGCTCTTTATTTGATAGTATCTCCACCTGTGTTGCAATAATTGGCAAGAGACCAACTGTCAATCACTACTGAGCTGCATTTTACTCCTCTCCCTATTACCTGCTTCATTTCTTTTTGGATGCTTCAGTAGTCATTTAGGAATTAACAGACATGATACATACCAAATATTTATTTCCAGCCAACCTTGCAGGGCTTTATTAGCACTGAAAATCAAGACCCTGTTCTGAGGCAGGAGGCCCAGCAAATAATCTATCATTTGGAATAGTAAAGGACATCAACACAGTTATGAGGGCCTGGTCCCAACCCAGCAAAGAATACAAGGATGTGTTTCCCTAACAATTTAAGGAATGTGAGCACATTCCATCTTTAAAAAAAAATTCAGTCCCAGTCTGATGACTGACTGTTTTCTGCATCGTGGCCTCCAAGACTATTGAATAAAACTTCAGATCTCTGTCCTTCTTTCCATTGACTTGAGCATAGGACTTCTACAGGATAAATCCCAAGGTCGGCAGTTCCATTTCTCACACCCAACCAGAAGCATAAAGCTCATCTGTGCAGGAGACAGAGTCTCAGGTCATAGAACTAAGCCATATAAATCTCACCACCTTAAACTCTGAGGGCACACCAGGTTTTTAAACAGTTATTTCTCCATAAACACACATATTATGTACATTGAAGGAAATCAAACTCAAGCAAACTGCTGTCAAAATAAAACATGCCATGCATAAACAATTCTCTCACTGAGGAAAGAGAGTAAGGAAACAGTTTAACCTGAATGTCTGCAGATACCTCAGGGATGATGGTGTTAAGAAAACATAACAAGGTAATACAGAGAGGTAAGTGGCTATTGCCAGTTGGTAGAGCTTCATGGCTTTCATGCAGTTACATTGATTTAAATGGCTGAAGATCTGGGCTCTAATCTTCAACAAAAGTTGATAAACTGGCAGGTTCTACAGAAGTAAGTTTTAAAGCCGAGTAACATAATCAAGAGAAGCTGGGCAAAAGGAGCTCTGTACTGCACATGCCCTCAGGGTACACCATTCTCTAAGGCAAATACCAGATAAAGCATATGAGAGAAAAACCTGATAGCTCAGCATTTTTATGAACAGAGAAGTACCTTCCCCCTCTCACTGTGGTTACCACTGTGTTCAGAAAATAATGACTTTGGCCCACCCCCCTCCTCTGACTGTACCACTACCTCCAGCTGACTGGGGTGACTGACAAACTGCATAACTTGATATTCAAAGTCTTTATATTAAAAATACCTTGCCATTCTGCACGATAAATGGTTTCCACTTGGAATTAGTTAACGGAGAAATATTTTGGTTACTTTTGCCAAAGGGGTTTGCTTTGTTTGCAAGGTCATTCAGTATAAGCTCCCTGAACTTTGAACTGTATCTGCAAAGTGAGATAAACAAGAGCCATATAAATACCACAGCCCTTTTCCCCACACTGTTTTCTTCTGCAGCGGAGTTAAGCAGCAGAGCTGCCAAGGAGGCGGGGAGGAAAGGGTAAGTGGGCTGGTTTTGCTATGAAAGAGCTTCATGACTTAAGATTTGGCAGAGTGTCTGCTTGTTTCTTTGCTGAAAAGGCTGACTGTGGAAATTTCCATTGGAAACCAACTAGAAAGTTGAAATGCAAAGAGAAGTCTAATTCAGAACATAGCTCTCATCTAGTTCACAGGGCGAGACAGCTGTTGCTGGGCACTGTATGCCAGTGCTGCAGAAGCCTATAAAAGCATAGAAGGATCTCAAGATGTCATAGGAGTTTCATGTATTTATAATGGATATAAAGCCGTGCAGCTTTCCCAATGTGTGGAAAGAGTAAAAAAATGGCCCTGTTGATATCTATTGGTCCATAGTTTAATCTTCAAAGCAGTGTACCTAAAAAGCTTTTGGTAGAACTGCAGGAAAGAAGCATTAGGGACAGACGGCTTTCACAAATGATGTTGGCTTTGCAGCAGCTGGCTCTTGTTTTAAAAGATCAATTATTAAAATGTTTTAGTTTTTTCAGAATACGACAAAATTGATGAAGCACATGTTATTTATCAGAACTTAGCATTTCCAAAACATTCTGTGTTTACTGTCAGACTTCGATGTGAGTGGTAAAATTACAGAATTCCACAACCTAGGACATGTTGGGGAGCAGTTTTATAATTTTACATATTTCTCAATAATGTTTTTTTTCTGAACATATTAAGCCAAAATTATTATGTTAATAGAATAAAAGGAAAAGATAATTACAGAATTTCTCGTATGCTTTGATTTTCATAAACATTAAATGGACTAAATGTGGGTAGGAGATTTTGTAAGATCTGAGGAATCCTGAAACTCAGTTTTCATTTCCTGTTTTTGCAAAATTGTTTCTAGTGCCTGTGTTTTTAAGAGATTTTTGTCAATCCAAATACTACAGACTGACTTGTAAAATCTTTAAGTCTTTTTTTTAATTTCTTCCAGGTTCTGTAATGCTTGCTGCATACCAAAATACACTGTTGGTGCAAGTGCTTTTAAGTCTGTGGAATTATTCTGGGATCTGGAGTGAACTGGTCTAGATTCTTACCGGTGTAAACTGGCTCAGCACAACTGATTTTAAAACACAAGAAATGAGGCCACTTTAAAATCACTGAAGTATTAAAAACAGCGAAGAAGAAATTACAAAGAGGAAGGAACAACGTAGTCTGATCAGTAGCATTAAAAGAAAATCCAGTTATTCTGAACACTTACTTTTCAGCTGTTACATTAAAAAAAAAAAAACCCAGAAACCTGCCTATTTATTATAGGGGAATTCCACTGCAAAATGAAAGGAATATGATCAAGCAGTAAACAAAGTAGCTCAAATTAATTCTTACAGGTTTTTTTTTTAAACTGAATGGAGTCAATATCCTGCTGTGTTTTGCTACGGGAATTTCAGAGTCTGAACTTGGTTTAGGCATTGATCTCATTTTGTTTATTTTCTCTCTTTTCAGATAAAGCCCAGCCATGTGGGCAGGGCTGGGGCTAGTTCTGGCTCTCTGTCTCCTCCCAGGAGGAGGGACAGAGATCCAGAACTGCAAGGAGCCCCCAGAATGGCGTATTGGGGAGGAGAACCCGATGCTGAACTCTAGGGGCTCAGTGACGGTGGTGGCTCTCCTCCAAGCTAGCTGATACTTGTGCCTGCTGCAGGCTTCCAGGTAAGCGTGAATGTCTTTCCCAGTTTTCGTTAAAACATGACTGGTCAATTTTTTAATGCCATCTGAGGATAATACATGTGCCTAACTACAGATGCACTCAGTGAACTCTAGTTTCCTCAAATGCCGCCATCCCAGCTGGCATATGTGACGCCAGGTTAACTTTCAGCAGCCAGCGGCTCAGATTCTTCATGTCTTGACGTAGTCCTGACTGACAGACCATCTTTTCCAGATTTTATTTACAACGTAAAAGTATGATAAGCTTGGCATTAATGAAACCCAAAACACAGGAAAACCCAACAGAAACAGTTCCTCAAGAGCTATGCTTCAGTTAGCAATAGATGATTAATGTAGCTGAAGCCAAGAAACATCAAAATTCTCCGACATGGCTAGAACACCTGAAACAGAGAGATGTGTGATCACTCATTTTTTATGTAAGATCTGCGGGGGAAAAGGCAAATCAAAACATGTGCTTTTAATGTGCTTTTCCAGCCCCTGTTCAGAGGTCCTAGATGTAAAAAAAAAATTCAGAAGATAAGGTAAAGACTGGACTTTCTAAAAATACATGAAGCATTCAAGGGAATCATGACAGATTTTCATACAAGACCTGAGACATCGGTGCTCTGGTTTTTAGAACCTACTTCTGTGCAAATAATTAGGTATCATGACAGTAACAGCAGCAAGAAAATAATTTTGAGCTGACCCAAACAGGAATTGCATACAGCCCTTATCTTGGATTCATTTAGTGATTGTGAAATCATTTTCGTTTAAGTACTGGTTTCAGAGCTTGATTTTAATCACTGTAATAACATCTTCGTTTCCCCCTCTACGCGTATAACTTCATATTATAATAGTCTTTGCAAGTTTTTTACAAACTAGATTTGAAAAAGTGGTGGTAAATCTCTGGCTCCATCGAGGTTAAAAGTGGGCTTTGTGGTTGGCTTTCAAGGTAGTTGGGTTTGATTCTGTACATTTTAGAAAGGTTTTAAAGAATTTTTTAAGCTCTAGACTATTTCCTGAAACAGAAAAAGAGTTTTCTAGAGCAAATCTATAGGAAGGATACAAATGAAAAGGAAAAAACCTCCACGTCGTATAGCAAGAAAGCAGCTTTCTGTACTATAGAGCAAAGAAAAACTTTTGCGATGGGATGCAAAGGGAAAGACAAATAACTGCCAGACAGGTCATATACACATTCTGTAGCCATCCTTTTGATCCAGTTGCTGTAATAGCCCTTTTCTGGCTGTTACAGAAAATAGCCATGTCAAGATGGGCGGGAGAGCTATCAGCTTTTTACTGCAGGTTTGCTTTCTTGATTATTCATCTTCCTGCTGTATTAATGGTATGCATTCTTTAACCAACTATGTGACCAAAACGTCAGCATTTAAATAAAGACATCAGATAAACTAACTGTGTTAGACCATGGGGAGTGTGAAAGAACTGAAATAAAAATAACACTGAATTCAGTCTGAAAACAGATGTTTGCTTTACTTAGTACTGCATTCTACTTACAAGAACAGGACCCATGGCATATTAGTTAGCTATTGTAGAGTCTGGTTTGTTGACAGTATAGTTGGTAGTCATGGCAAATGGCAAGAATGTTTTAATAGTGTTAGTCTATTGCCATTAAAACTGGGAGTAAATAATATTCACTGTAATAAAAGCAAGATGGAGCATATTAAATTTCATTGAATGTGGCAAATCTTATGATTCTCTAATGATATACGGTCTTGCTTCTTTACATTCTCCACTAGATTGGAGGACCTGCGAGTGAAGTTAGAGAATGAAGGACTGGTCAATATCTCGTATGTGGTTGTCAACCATCAGGGAACTTATTCCCAGAGGAAATTTCACCTACTGAAAGAAAGTGTTTCAGACTATATTTCTGTCTACCAGCAAGATGAACAGCAAGCTGATGTCTGGACTACCTTAAATGGAAACAAAGATGACTTTCTCATCTATGACAGGTCTGTGTTGTTTAGAGGGGAACACAGGAAAATATTTGCATGTATTTAGAGTAATGCTTTGTAAATCTCTAATTGATTTGCAAGTAACCTGATTACCTCACAACAAAGACATCATAACCAACTTCTAAGTTGCACTAAGTAAAGCACTTGCATTTAGTGGAAAAAGGAAGCTACAAAAGAAAAGTCTACTTTTGCTTAAGCAAGTTTGGGATAAATAAATTTTTCTTTATAATTACTGTGGATTTAGGTTAATATAACTGAGTGTAGAATTTGATAGCATGATTCTAGTCTTACACTGTTTTTATGTTCAGACAACTTTGTTACATCCATGCATGTGAAAGTAGAATCAAATGAGAAAAACTATCTGAGTTCTCATGAAAACATTTTGACCGGAGTTGTTGAAAATGTCATAGAATCATAGAATCATTAA